GTTTCCAACAGAAAAATAATAAACAAAAAAAAATGTACAGGCAAGGGCAGATTTTGCCAACATGTATTTACGTACATAATTTCCTTTATAAATATTTAAGAAATACTGGATCATTTAAATATTTATGTGCCTCGTGATTATGTAAGCTGAGAGTTGCCTAAGGTCCCATGTAAAAAACAAATTATATAAAGTCACCGTATAATAGTTTTTTCCGTCAGCAATTTGCTAAGTTTTATTCATCCGTAACGTATGTACTGCATACTAAAAATCATCCGGTAATATGCATTTCCATGCGGTGGCTATATATGCGATTACCGAAACGGTACTAACTTGTTTACAGAGTATGAGCCCATACATATTTTACCAATTTTGTTTGCTCTGGACTGCCTTTTTTACCAACATTGTTCAAATTCAAAACATGTCTCGGTAATATATTTATTACAAGTGATGATTTTTGGGACCATAATTTATACACGCATCCTACCGAAATGTATACTATTTCAACCGTGTGTGGTAATATTTGATCACTCAATCGAATTGCTATAGCTGTAATAATGAATCAAGACAATTTATGTTGATTTATTACTGCAGCTACAAAGACATTAATCTTGTCTCGGACTTACATAACTTTGCTGGGATTAAACCACAAAACATTTATCTGCTGTTTGGTTAACGACGAAATGATGGTATTAAATAAAATAAGTTTTTTCGTGTTACTGAAATTAATGGCGTTTAACTACATATTTCATACTACTAGTTCCGGCCATCGTCCACTAAATCTTTGAAATTTATAAAATTCAGAAACCAAGTTGTGATAGGACGGATATAATTTAAGTTCTTTACATACATTGGTTTTGAGTTGCCAACAAAGTTTTTGTCTGCTACTTTGTAACGCTCATAGTTTAAAAAATATAATCCGAACATTTAGAGGATCTCCCTGAGGGACTGCAATTGGACATTAGCCTGTAAAAAATCACAATGGCGTCAAGATGCTTGACTTTGATGACCTATGTTGCAATCTCCACTGTTTCAGCGAGTATTGATGTTTTGCAGGAGGCTGATCTAACGTTCCTTTTCACTTCTTCGTGCTCCGATTTGATAAATTCTGAAGTGGTGGATGTCCCTTATTTTCACCCAATACGAAGTGTCAACTCCTACACTCCGCTCCGCCATCTACTCATAGTCTTGAAATGCAACCCGTCAAGGGACATTGAATTACCCCATGTGCTAAAGAACAATTTAGGGAATCCGAACTTGAAAAAACCGTCCCGGCCTAACGCTATTTTTATTCCCTTAGACAAATCAATAGGCTTCACTAGTGAAACTATTTCAAGTGTGAACGTCTAATCTATCACAGTGCGCGAGTATTTCGACCAGAGTTTATCTTTGGTCATACCGCCCTTAGCCGAGATGCGGCATGCTACGCACGCGCCGCGGAACTAATAGGTACCGCGAAACTAGTCCTTTTTGAATATAGTTCCGGCTCGGCCAACTTATTCATTCCATGCTTGACCTGCTACCCGATAACATTTCTACGACTGTACGTTGCATCACTCCTCCGTATTCGACAAGCTTGGAACACCATAAACAAGAATATGCACAAATATTTTCTTTACTATTCAGTCATGGAAGAAGCCACAGGAATTTGTGGCTTACTTTACCGTGCCTTCGGTAACATAGCTGATTCAAATTTCTGTCTCATGACAACAATTGCAGAAAAGTATAATCTAACCCTATCGCTAGTAAAGATAAAAAATCAGCAGGATGACAGAAATCATACAGTAACTCAAAGTTTTGGGCGCCATTTACACCATACCACGTCCTATAACGGTTTAAATGATTCTATTTATCAAACTGACTTTGCCCCTCTCAACTTTCTAACAATCAGCAACCCAGCGTCTCATGCTAGCGGCGTGGTAACCTTTATTTCCCCGTTGGACCCGGCGACTTGGACTTTGCTTTTGATTAGCGCGTTTGCCGTAACTGGATTGTTCTTGTGGTTGGGGCGAAAGGAGACAGCCATGCCTGGAAAGCTTATCCTTGTGCTCGCTGCTGAAAAGGTGATCACCGTAATATCCATTTTTCTCGGCCAGGTCGGCGAAACTACAGGAAAGACTTATCGCACAGGAAAAGCAGCCATGCTTCTCATTATCCTCTGGCTATTCGTTTATCTCGTCCTAACAGCTAATTTATATCAAGGATCAATCTATTCATGTCTTGCGGTCCTCTTTCCGCCAAAAACTCCTCACGGATTTAGCGATTTAGTTTGCTTGGACATCCCAATAATAACAACGGATTTAGGCTACAACCTTAAAACCGGTGGGTACGAATCATTCCTACGTGAATCCCTTATCCCTCAACTACTCTTGAGCCATGAAAATAGTCCAAAATTCACTAAAGTTTTAATAAAATTGCAACAAAAGATTCTTATAGCTGATCACCTCGTGTTAGCCAAGTTGAGAAAAATTACACGCGAAAGTTCTACCCAAACTAATCCTACGATCGCCGTAATACTGCCGGAAAATATGTTTCCCTTCTTCCTAAAAACCTCAAGACTACGGACAAACCGACATTTGGCCCCGAGCAGGGAAGAATCGCCGTTTCGTGTTATAGAATTTACGGCCGGGTTTAAAAATTTGATGTACCCTTTCATTACAAATGATTGGAGGCGCTTGCACGAAACAGGAATGACGTTAATCTGGCAGAAATATATTATGATTGGTAAGCTACTCAGGGGAGTTCGTCACATCGGGAAACGGACATATTTTAAGGTTGTTCAAAACTCTTTTGGAAATGTGAAGGAGACTGCACGATTTCATGAGTCGACGCAAGTCACTGTAAAACTGATTCAGCCTAGCTTTATCATTTGTGGTGTCGTGATAGGTCTGGGGGGAATGGTATTTGCCGCAGAAAATTCGAAGTGCCTCATATTTGCGGCAAAATACGGTGCTCATACCATAATTTTTTGGTGTTACAAGGTTTATTGGTACTGTCAGAATATCTAAACCAGGTTTGGGTATGTGATTACCCGAAAACTAGATTTACAAATTCAGTTTACGACGGTAATAGGAAAATTATATTGTTTTATAGCTGGTGAATTTTACATTGGAAACCTAACTTCTTTATGATGGGGCCCCTCAGACACGTGGCGAATATTTCGCTAAGGAAATTATTTCCATTAATATATTGTCGTCTCCTAAAACTAACCGTAGCCACGCCACACAATCAAGGATACAACAGATCACAATCATTCTTGCAAATCGAACGCGCCATTTACCTCTTGTAAGGCGCAATTTACCGACGGAATAACCTTTTTCCGACGGCTCCCAATCAATCGGAAATGAGTATGAAAATTGACCCCATTTCACAATAGCTACATACACGAATTTCGGTCCAATCTAAGGAGCTCAAGGTTCAGATTAATTGTGCAAAAAATAACTTTTTCTCGATGCCGAAGAATTATCATTTTTTTGCTAAAATACGATCAACTCGCGATCAGTTTATAAATATTCATGATATAAGTAATATACATGTTATAAATTCTAGAAAAACCTTACGGTTCAAAACTAAGTATTTTTCAAGGTAAAAAGAATAAACAGGTAAAAAGAAAAAGAGATATTTAATTGAAGTCAAATAAACGATTTGATTACAGGCAAGTTTGATACCGATAATGAGGAGGTGTGAGGCGATTATCGCCTATGTCCACCGGACTAATCTTAATTCGTGGCAATGGTTGCCCTTAGTTCATATTATGACGCATTTATTACAACCGATATAACGTCACCTCCCCAGAGATATGTGGTTACGGGTATTCACGAACTTTTGACGGGATTTGGCTACAAATTGTACTCCTACCACCTACCAAAAAATTGGACCCGCTGGCGCCTTTCGATTCGAAGCGATTTCCCAGATTTTGGGAAATGCACTGCTTATCTTTGGGACGGAGGTATGCATGCTAACAAAAATACTTTCATGCTCTATGAATTTTTACCTTGTTTCAGAAATCTCTAACTCGCAAGCACACGGACGTTATTCGGACGCTCCCACGTTCGCAGACCGGGCGGGTTTTCTAATAGACTCTTTTTGGGTGGAGTTAGCTTTATATTTTCTAAAAGTAAACTACTTCAACGCATCTTGCCACGCTGTTAAGGAAATATTTCACCGTGACACGATGATCTGGCAGTTTAGGTATTTTGGATCAGAAGGTCTGTACCTCAATTTAAAATGGCTCGGTTCCAGCGGACTCTGGCAACTGTATGCAGGCCTATGGCAATTTATCAGCGAGTTTGGTCTTCGCCAACGTAGTGTCGCCATACCAAAGGGTTCTTTGGGATTGGAAAATTTATTAATTGGCTTTCAACTATACTTGCTTTTTGGTGCGTTTGCAATTCTTTGGTTCGTTCAAGAAATCGCATTGCACAAGTTTGGTCTCGATTATAAAATTTATATTATACTTCTGAAAGTACGAATTCGATTCTATAAAGTGGGGTCCTGGATTTGTTCGACTTTACTTAAGTTTGAAAATATATGTGCGAAGGTCAGCGTGAAGTTTAGAGAATGTGTGCGTAGAGTAAACTATACTTTTCACGCTTATGTGTCTAAATCGATATATTACTTTTCAATTAAAGTAAGTAACATAAGATGCAAAAGTTCTAGAATTTCAGCCCGACAAATTAAATGAGGTAAAGATGAAGCGCAATATATGTACGCACTTAATACATGCAAGATCTTAGGAAAACGGCAAAAATTACCAATTTCAAAAATCCACAAAAACCGTAATTTTGGTCGGATTTCAAATAATAATTAAATATGTCTGGTACAAAAAATTATATTTTAGTATTTAAATAAATAAATAAATAAATAACCCAAAAGGAGGTGAGAAGAATTATGAACCCGAAAAAACACATGAATAAATGTTCATGTTTTCTTAATTTCGTAATTCTTAATTTACCCTTCATATTACAGTTCATACTACAGTTAATAAGTAATAAAGCCAAATATTTAATTGCTGCGTGCCAATAAATTTTATTAGACGAAATATAATAAATTGTGCATATGTCGTGTAGATATATCGATAGAGATGTTGACCTAAGCTAGAGTAGCCGGGATGACAACACAGAGTGGTTTCCACAGGTTTTGATAAACCTTGAATCGTATCTCGGACTCAACCTGAAATTAAATAATTGCATGTACATCGTGGCCATAAAGTTTCTGATGACCCTCAAAAATCCCATTCCCGCGCACAAAAGTTGCTAAAACTTTCTTCCTGTTTTGTTTTTGGTACTACTTTTTTCTGACAATGTCCACCAGACATTTATCCTCATTTGTGGAAAAAATTATAAAAATCCACCCACTATTGGATGAAGGAGAAGGCATATCCCAAATCGCTCTAAAATTTCGGGTTCCCTGAAATACCTTCAAGTTGTGGAGGCACCAGAGCTCATCCGGGTACGGAATTCATCTCAGACCACCCGACATACACTCACAAGGGACACTCACGACCTGTCGTTTGAGTCCAGGGTACCCACTATGTTTTTTAGAATCTACTAGGACCCCAGATGAAGGATTCATTCATATTTCCGTGTAAAACTCATATTTGGCCCAATGGCGTGGCGCCAAACTTAAAAATTTGCATTTCCGACCAATTTCAAACCCCCATAACTTTTGCAGTTTATGTCGGATTTTTAAAATTTTATGCTTAAAATGATCAGAAATATCGAACTTTTAGAGAAAAAAATAAAAATAAATAAATTTTAATTTTTGAGATATTTTTAGCATTTTGTCGACGAATCCAAAATTTCGAAATTTTGCGAAAATTTAAAAGCGATAATTTTGGAAAAAAATTCATAGAATACGAAAGTTGAACTCCTTGTCATGATTTTTGCCAAAAATTTTGAAAATCCGTGCAGGATTTCAAAAGTTATGGCGGTTTTAAAATGAAAAACCATCAAATTTGACGAATTTGGCGCCACGCCATGGCGCCAAATATGAGTTTTACACGGAAATATGAATGAATCCTTCATCTGGGGTCCTAGTAGATTCTAAAAAACATAGTGGGTACGCTGGACTCAAACGACAGGTCTTGAGTGTCCCTTGTCAGTTGTTATTACGATTACGATTTTAGAAATAATCTGCCGAAAATCTGGTAGTTCGACAATAAAGTGTACAGGGGTCCTAAATCTCAACAATCGATTTAACGATTTTGGTAAGAAATCTCTCGTTCCATTCTTCGGAGTCATATTAAAACAAGTGATTGGGGTCACATTGCTTCCAGAACTATAAGGCAGGCAAAGTCGTTTTCGGACAAAAATATTCAAGGTCTAGCGGATTTTGGTCCCTTTCTCGATGAGAACGGTTATTTGACTGCTGGTTTAAAGGGTCAGGAAATTTTGTGTACGTACACGACCAAAATGAGTGGTCATCCGGTAGCAGATCCTCACTATACGAGGTACCAAATTGTGAATAGAAACGAGGTTCACGAGACGGAGATTAGAAAAAAATGACTACCATTAATGGTTTGTGTTTGGCTCTGCTCTCGAGGCGCGATGGAACTGGATGTCACTTTGGTTGCCAAAATGTGGAAGGACCGTTTCACCGTGACCAAATCTTACAAGTGTACTTCGATACTGTAGGGACTAATCTACTTTTTCCAAATTCGAAAGAAATTCCATCTCAACAGGATGGGTCACCAGCCTGCAATTCAAATGCTACCAATTGATTTTTCGAGTAACGGTCGTTTATCATCTTAGGGAAGTGGGTGTGGCTCGGAAACTGCCCGGAACTGAACCGATTAGAGCATTTATGACCTAAGCTCAAAAGCAACGTGTGCGTATAACAAGTTCCACGCGATTGAACCTCCCTACTCGAACGTTTTTTGAACCACTTTTGAAAAAATTTCCAAAATTGTTTTGGAAAATATGTGAGAAATTTTCAGGACAAAACATCAGAACATGTAAGTTTGTCTGGAGGATACCTACAATACTGATGCATAAAACGCTATAAAAGATTTGGTTAATAAAATTTGTTTCTTGTGAAAATAACGATTGTTTGATACCATGCTTCGCCTCATCAGAAACTTTATGGCCACGATGTACATAATTTTAAATTTCCTAACTTTAAAATTCTATCAACTTACCCCACCAAACGGGGTGGATGGAACGATTAAGTCGTAGTCAAAGGTATAAATCTGCCCAGGAATCAATCTCACACCGTGTAAAGTAACGTCATTCGTAATGGTTTGAATCTGGTTATCCTTCAGTGCAAGCGATTTAAAATTGAGGTTTCCAAAGTCTCGAGTTCCCGCTACAATTTAGTCGAGTTAATTAAATAATTTCTTAATTTCAAGTAAAAATATCAAGATTCGTACTGTGCAGAAAGTCCACTTGGATATTGTACGTCTGGCCTCGATTGAGTTGACAAGGGGCTTGGGTGCATCCAGTCATTCGGACATCGATGAGAAGTCCATTTCCTGTAAAAAAAATGAGGCACTATAAATTATTTGTTAATATTTGAACCCACTCGCGGTGGATCCGCTGAGAGAAACTTTTATCCATAAGATTTCGTTCAATAAGATTTATGATTCATTTACGCGTCATTTTATTATAACTACGGTGTCCACCTTTTTACCGACATCTACTTACCGACATTGGTTTACCGACGCATTATTTACCGACCAATTATTTACCGACCTAATTATATACCGACGTAATTATTTACCGACTAATTATTTACCGACTAAATATTTTCCGACACAATAATTTACTGACTTAATTATTTACCGACCGTGCACACTATCCAAAAGGCCAGATTAGAGGAAAAAGTCCACGAACATTTTTCTCATAAAATTTTTGCATATTCTGAGCCCCAGGTGACCAGGTCACCGTGACCATGGACGTGTTCTTAAAAAATTCGACGAGCCACACCCACTTTGGGTGAGGTTCTTTCCTAGTTGGTTTATGGTCAATCGCCCAGGTGAAATATGTAGCCCAAGCGATTATACACCTTCAGTAAAAATTTCAACCAAATCGGTCCATAAACCGAAAAGTTATTAAGGGTAGAACTTTGGCGAAAGGCAAGAAAGGCCTACTTTCGAAAACCGATATCTAGCTTCGGCAGGGCCTGCAAAGTGCGTAACAAGTAAAATTATCCCATGTCGAAAGGGAACGATGTCGTCATGTCGAAATTTCGACATGGTCGTAGAGATGCCGACAAACTTTCGACATTATAAAGTCCATGTCTCTCAAAATTGGATGTCGACAAGGTCAAAAGTGTTGATATATGTATTTTGAAGCGCAGAAGAGTCTAGGTTATGAATTTCAAGTCTCTACGACCATGTCGAAATTTCGACGTGACGACATCGTTCCCTTTCAACATGGGATAATTTTACTTACGACTCACTTTTCAGGCCCGGCTGAAGCTAGATATCGATTTTCACCATGTTTACTATGATTTCTGATCTTAATACGTCTATTTATTGCATTACGTCGGTAAATAATTAAGTCGGTAAATTATTGTGTCGGAAAATATTTAGTTGGAAAATAATTAGTCGGTAAATAATTACGTCGGTATATAATTAGGTCGGTAAATAATGCGTCGGTAAACCAATGTCGATAAGTAGATGTCGGTAAAATAACGTGAATCTATAACTACATACATATGTATATATACTAATTATTTTATTGAATTTCTAATCAACTGGCTTTGTGCCTGTCAAAACGTTTTTAGTTTTTAAAATATGTGAAGAATTGCAAGAATGGCTCAAACTCAAAATTAATAAAAATTACAGCGTGCGCCAAATAACCTTGTAGAAAAAAATTACGCATTTTTAATAGATGAACCATTGCAACCCACCGTTCCACTGGCCAAACATATTTGTATCCGCGCAAGATTTAACTCCTTACCACAATTTCCCACCCCATCCAGCTGTAGAACTCCCGAGCTCTCCTTCCCATTCTTCGACAACGAGACGGATGGGTTGCTCTGAATTGACGCCGCCGAAAGCGACCCAATCGCCATCGCCAGGATGAACAACTTTTGGAAAAACATTACTAACTGCCACTGCTTATCCAACAAAGAGCATCGACAGGTAAATATTAAATGATTTTAATTCAACTCTTGTCAACTATGTTTATATCGTCGCAGCACACGATACCTCACCTTTCGCACACGATACCACATTTAAGTACGTTGAGACAATGGGCCGTGAAGCAAGTCCCATTTTCCATCAATCAGTCTGATTTAGATATCAACGTGTCGTATTGACATTTTTGGACAATTAAACATCCACAAAAACATCCCGATCACCCACCCAACTCAAGGATCATGCATCAATGTCAATTACAAATAGACTTGCAATTAAAATTCCAACTCTATTTTAACTTCGCAGTTAATTAATCACTCTGCCCAACGTTTTGCACAATCGCGTTAAACATTCCAATAATGAAGTCATCCATCACGCCAGTGCCAATGTCAGGATAATTTAGATTACCTCAGAAGCATGTGCGACATGTGACATTGAGTCAACTGTATATGTAAACTCCAGTGTATAAAAGCAGATCGCATCCAGTCGCAGAAAATTATTGACAGCTTGAACTCCGCTGGCGTTACGATGGCCAAAATACTCTTTGTCCTGTCTCTTTTCATTGTTGCCTGCTACGGGCACGGTCGCGTGCAGGAACCCCCAAATCGGGGCTACTTGTGGCGACTTCCCGAGTACCAGTGGGCCAATCCGGGCCATATTGGGGATGACACGGAACTCCATTGTGGTGGGGAAGGGGTAAAGTCAAAACTATCTAATATAATTATGTATTAAGAGCTAAAATCAAATAGAAATTCAAGAAAATAAAGGGATTTACGAGAATTTATTTACGACAAATTTACCAGATAAATTGTGAGATAAATTTACGAGATAATTTACATAAACAACACTCCTGCATTGGTAGCATAATAGTAAAAGTGTCAAGCATGTATTCAAACGTCGCAGGTTCGATTCCCCCACGGGTTGTAATTTTTTTCAAAATTTCGTATTTAATTAAACATTAAATTAAGTAATTTAAGAAAACGACGAACTGCAGAGGACTATGTATATATTATAGCAATACTAATTTTTCAAATATGCATATGCACAGATAACCGATCCCAACATAAACGCGTGCGGCTTCTGCGGCGATCCAATCACCCAGGCAAGGCCGAGACAACATGAAATCGGGGGTGCGCACGAGCGCGGCTTGATCGTTCGGAACTACACGGTCGGACAAACCATCGACGTGCAAATCTACTGGCAGGCCTTGCACGGCGGGTGGAACGAGTTCCGTCTGTGCGACTACAGCGGGAAGGGGGCCGAGAGCGAGACCTGTTTCCGAGAAAACCTGCTCCGATTTAGCAACGGGGAAACGAGATTGTGGGATATTGACGATGCCACTGGGGACGGGGGGATTACCCATTTGCAAGTCCAACTCCCTCAAGGACTTCGGTGTGACAGGTGCGTCATGCAATGGGAGTGGAGTGCGGACAATGGACAATTCTACAGAAATTGCATGGACATTTCAATCCATTAAGAAAACTACAGTTGGAAAGTAAATTATGTCGCAGTGTACATTTAATTGTTCATTTAATTAAATTATAACATTTAGCAAGTATATGCCTCACATTTCTTTGTACACAAAATTGATTATAATTTATTCATTCTATTAAATTATGGTAATGCCCGCCGCACTCATTGCATGTAACGTACAAACTCAACAATATTTAAATATTTTAAACAACACAACACTCACATTTGTAGATTGGTTATCTCAAGATAATAGACTCTCATTTCCAGAAATGATTAAATTTAAAAATTCTTGATTCAATTAATTTCTAAGAGTATTTACAATGAATATATAACCCTTAATGTAGATACGGATATGATCCTTTAATTACAAGTGCAAAATGTTTGCAACAGCTACAGCCTATTGAAATTTGTATCTTCAATCTTCCATGTTAATGAGGGACAACAATATACACGTAGTATTGCACACATTTTGCCCCATGCTCTTCCAGCCAACACCTTAATTCTCGAAATCACCCGTTTTCTCACCTCAATTAGAAACAACACAAGCCCGCCGCCATTTCCAATGATGGAAATTAGAATGGAATTTATGGGTGAGTCTGTCTCATCTCCGTTATCATCGATTTTTACTCCTTGTTCCAACATCGCGTCATACTTCTTCCTTGCCCTGCTCCGACCAAGAGCAATGTTCGTAACGCCCCATCCTTCCCACCATTTCTCCATGATCCTCGGGAAAAAGGATCCTCGCGTATATTGTTCGAATCGAGCTGAAAAAATAATACTTGCATTAAAGGTCTCCATTACGAATTTGCATATTCGATTCGCAACCAAATTGCAGAAAATATTTCTGCGACGTAACAATGGAGGTCTCCCAACGTATGCTCACAGCTTTGAAGCAAATTAGGGTCCATCGATCACAAATATAATTAGGATGAAATTTGCAAATGGAACTATCTTCCAATTCGCAGGTTTGACGGAGATATTTACATCCAAAAGGGGAAAAATGAGCAGCAAATTTGGAAAATGAAAAATTTGAAAGCTTTTGGCTGCGTTTTCTCCTCTTTTTATGCAAATATCCACGCTAAACTTGAGCATTGGCAGGTCGTTCCATTTGCAAATTTCATACTATTTGTGATAGATTGACGCAAGTTTGATCCTAATCTGTCAGCATAACTTTGGAGACCTCCATTGTAAGTACTCGTCTTGAAGATGCGTACATAATTAAATTTCGTAAATAAATTTTCAAGCCAAAACTTTTGTACAATTTTTGTTTCCAATTTGTTTCCAAAATTAGGAATTTCGGAAGTTAGAAAATCTTCCTTACATTGAAGATGCGGCATCTTCCTCGAGAAGTACATGACCATGGGTGACTTGGCCAATTGTTCGGACGCCTGTCTGAATCTGGGTTGACCAAATCTGTCCACCAGGTTTTGCTGGGATGAAATAACTCCCCAACTGTAGGATCCCATACAAACATTGTTTTCCTTGATATCTTGAGTAGCCTTAACGCAAGACACCTAACAAGTTAAATTGGACAATTTATAACTATTCAGATCAGATATGCACTTATAACTTCTTAAGGTTCCCATGGATGACACGTTGGCGCGTAATCTCACTCTGCCCCTATCCCATGTATTCAAATGCAATTTCTAAAATTGAATTAACTCCATGAGTGTTGAGATAAATGCAACTTTTGATATTTCAATATAAAGTTAAATAATTTTGATACTAAAAACAAGTCGATTAGGAAAAAATAGCGAATTCATTTGGGAGGAAATTTAGTATGAAAAATTGCAAACCAGAGGGCACTTACCGAGTCATACACGGAATACTTTTTCACCGTCATTTTCTCCAATCTCGAAATCAACACGGATTTATTCCTATTCTGATACGGGGATTGTCCCTCCGTCCCGTAGAATCCGGTGAAGTGAACTTTCACATTGGAGGCGGACTTCATCAAATGTTCGCGGCGGGGTGTAGAAAGGGGGGAAGGTGAGACAGTCGACCAGCCTGGTTTGTAGGTCGGCATTTAACAAAATCAGAGCCACGAGCCAGGGTCCGATCATCAATTTAATTTTGCCATATAGTAGCAATCTATCGTAAGTAAAATTAGTAAAAACTAATTAATTATAATAATTTTATAATTAATAATAATTAATAATAATAATTTTATAATTAAGTTTTAACTTAACAAAGTAATCCACAAGTCGATCACGTTTCGCGGATTAAATTGTAATCAAATTATTAAGATTTCGCGCTTTAATTCTCTGAACACCACACTGTTAAAAATCTAATAGATTCACACAGATCCTGGTATCGATTTCGTAAAAATTTCCTACCGGATTTTCCTGGTAGTAAATTGTACCTGAGTTGTAAATTTTTCATCACCACAATATTACTGAACGTCATTAATACAAGCGCCGGTTGAGTCACATATGTATGTAGTCCAGTCGGTAATGATTTAATACCAGTTTTTTCTACGAGTTCAATTAACTTACTGTTCCTGCTCTGTGGAAATATTTTGCTGCGCGATTAACCGAAAAAGCCCACACGTGGTCCCCACAATTCTTCCATAGTTCCATTTCCCTTCTTTTTGCTGCACCGTTGCCATGATGACCAAGATCATAAGAACAATTGACCCAATCTCGTACGCCCAGATGCTCGGATCCAGCGCCAAAAATACGAACGCTACGGGATTCCCGCTACTAATTTTGTGCGGGAGGCCCGTAAAGAAGGAGAAGGAGTCCCAGCCCGCCAACGAGGTTGGTGTCAGAGCCTCCGCTCTCTCGAAGGATAAGCCAAGCCAGCCCGAGTAAGATATCGCCCGCCCCGCCAGTACTTCTCCAAATGCCCCGTCCCACCTTCCCGTGGCGGGATTCAGATAGCCGGGATGACTCGTGCGGAAAGATACTTTCGGCGTGGCGTTAAACCATTGCGACACCGTGAGGACGGTGGGAGCCATCATATTCTTCATTATTGTGCCCACCCTAAAAATTAGAGGTAATTTTTACTTGCTCAAGTAATTATGGGGACGTCCATAAAGTATGGAACGCGACAGGGGGTGTAATAGGACCCGATTGATATCATTCCTGCGTGGTGTGATGGAGGTCCAGAAAATTGTGATTTTTACATGACGCACTTTTGGAGGAAAATGGCATCGCGAATACAGAACTATGCACAAATCCATTTCATAATCCTTTATGTTGAACTCCACCCGGGTAACATTCTTATGTCGAATTTGACATAATTCTACACAAGGTGCCAGAAAAATGGTTTTTGCAGAAAAAGTATGAACGATTCTACATAAAACGTCTGACAGGCATATTCTGCAGAATGGTTTAGCACAATTATGCATAATTCTGCAGAAAGGTTTAGCATAATTATGGATAATTCTGCATATTTTATGCACAAATTGTGTCCGCATAAATTTTTCTGCATGTGTAAAATCCAGCCAATTCTCTGCATAAAACCCAGCTAAATTTCTGCATAAAATACCTTAAATTTTGCACCCGGACACTGTATTAAATAGTTTGCAAAATCCTGCAGATTTCGATGCAGTAAATCTTGTCCAGACACTTGCATATGTGGAGGAATTTATTAAAACTTACCTGAATTTTGCCAATTCCACATCCGACAGCATACCCTTCAACCCTGCCGTGCTCGCCCATTTAAAATTCGAGCCAGCAAAGTTCCAGCGTTCTTTAAACTCAATCCCACCCGGGATCCCGACCCGATACCCGTGTACATCAATATCGTTCCATCCGCACCCACCAGTTTCCTCCTCCTCCCTCAACATCACATTAACCAAGGATCGATACGGAAATCGTAGTCGACCAGGGTATTTCCGGGTCTCAAAACTTTTCAGCTTTCCCTCAAGCAGAATGTGATACGAGTAATGGATTCCTCCCGGCAAAATGGAACCCCAGTCTCCCGGGTATTTCCCCCCACCACCATGATGAATAGCTAGACTTGTATGTACACCGAATTTCGGATAATTTATGATTATACTATAATTAGCCGAAAAATTGAACGCCATAAGTTGCACGGCCCTATTTAGCCCTACAATATCACCATTGATTCGAACAAGGGTGCAATCAGAACGAGCCAACAACTCGGCCAATAGTTGATCTACAATGCTGCGATTACAACCGGAAGAAGAACATGTCCAGACGACGTGGTAATTATTATCACGGAGTAAAAAACCATAAAAAATGTCGGGGTTTTCTGCATTTCAACTCTTTTTTCGCCTAGCTAAACCGAATGGCGAAACACTCGTTACAGGCTTTCTTCCGTTTTTAACCTTTGGGATTTGATATTGCAAACGAAATTGATCAGCTCCACGTGCCGGAAGTATATTTGATTACGTGCTGATACATTTTTTGGTAATTAAGATTCTACAACTGAAATGAGAGTGTAAATATTCATGGACAAATAATTAAGAAAGGAAAACAATCAGAATGCTGTATGTAAATATTGATGCGAGGCCACGGTTAAATTATGATTTCTGGTTATGGAACATCCTGTTGTGTACATACCACTACCCACGAAATTAGCACTCTCCTACGTGTAGTGTAATCGTCGAAATATGTAAATAAAGAAGAAATAAATATATAAAATTTAAACCCCTTAAAATCCTGCATATCCCTCAGTGCTGAATAAATGAAGGTAGGATAACTTGAGGAAGAATTTCAGAACATTTAAGAAATGTAGTTCTACATTCACTTGAAAAAACTTAACAATTTTATTTTGCTTTCCTTGGAAAAAGATTTCATTAAAAAAATGCATTTCATCAAAAATATTCCATTCGAGAGCCTTAATCGGAATAATTTGAGTGATGATACGCAGTATAAAACAACGAATCTAAAAAAAGTCGACCAACTTGACTATCCCGTCATCTTTGTTTGACCATGTAGCAATGCAATGCATGATACTTTTTGCTCTGATTTGACTGAATTACTTACATATTTACAAATTTAGTTTGAAAAAATTTCATTTCCATTCAATCCGGGAATCAATAAAAGATGAGAGCAGCATCAATCAAGGAAAGTGAGCGTTAAATTAACGGAACTTTCTCAATATCTCAACGTCAAGTATTATATATACAATATCTCAAGTATTTACACTTAAAAACTTACTGAAGTCTAATAATATTGGTTTAATTAATGGAAGTTCCACCACCAATCGTGTCAAAAACGATGTGGAAAATCTCCCACAACTTGAACATGATCCTAATTTTATTTACGATACATTTAAATTATCTGACTAGTGAGAGGAGAATCAGATTTTTGGAAACGGCAATCTTCCCGTATACTTAAGTTGTGTCCATGCCCTGTATTTTTCGACATTTCCAAGGTTTATTAAACTTGACTTTATTCATATCCTGAATTAATGAATGATACATACTAATTGACACATGTAATTTGCTAATTTACTTTACTAGGTTGTCACCAATTAATGATAGCTACATCTTTCGACTAAACTTTTTTCGGCATTCTCAGCCGAATCATACATGAATTCGGAGTTGTGTAGGTTTTCCAGCAAATTGGTTGACAAGAATGGTCAAAAATGAGTTGGGGTATGACTTAAACTTGTCATTTTTCGGACCTTGTCCCGTTTCCGTTCCCCTTCCGGAATCAATTGGAATAGTCAGCTCAGCTGGTTTCTCTGATGCTGTCGTTACTTTTGTTGGCCTTGATGTTGAAGGAGTTGTAGTCGTCGTCGTCGTCGTAGTTGGTGTCGTTGGATTATTCTCGGACAAGACTTGCTGCACGAGTTGTTTTATAGCAGCCATGCTCCAAAAGGGGACACTAATTGGGTGTAGGCGTGTGGGTGTAGTCGTAGTAGTTGTGGGTGAAGTAGTAGTAATTGTCGTGGGTGTAGTCGTAGTTGGTGTCGTGGGTGTGGTGATTGTAGGCTTCATAGTAGTAGCTGTTTCGTTAGTCTCCGTTAGGAACTTGCCTCTAGCAATTGAGAGCATTGTGTACCCCTGCCGAATTAGATAAATACATAAGTGCCTCATCAATTCATCTATTCTTGCATTACTTAGAAATTTTTATACATCATGTAAGGGATATTCTACACAGTACGTCACAAATTGCATCACAATTTCCAAACCTACCTTAAACTGGCTCGCGATATGGTCCAAAATAACCAATATAATGGGCGATACCCTTGCAACTAACTCGGTCTTTATCAATTGATTCATTGCTGCTGCCAATTGCACCCACGCCTCATCCTTAGCCGGCTCATCCACTGCGAACCAGTTTGCCAAGGTTATCCCAGTACGTCAAGTTCAAAAATTCGGAAGTGTGGAATTCCAAAAACCCCTTGTCGTCCAGTCGATAATTTAGCAAGAGTTTTGCCGATATCTGGACGCTTCCAGAAAATGCCCCTTCCATAAAGAGCTTGTCCCGTTGAGTGAATAATCCCCGCTAACTTGGAACAAAAATAACAGTAATACTTTCTCGGCTAACAAGGGACACTCACGACCTGTCGTTTGAGTCCAAGGTACCCACTATGTTTTTTAGAATCTACTAAGACCCCACTTGAAGGATTCATTCATATTTCCGTGTAAAACTCATATTTGGCGTCGTGCGGTGGCGCCAAATTCGCCAAATTTGAATGTTTTTATTTTTTAAACCGCCATAACTTTTGAAATCCTGGACGGATTTTCAAAATTTTTGGCAAAAATCATGACAAGGAGTTCAACTTTCTTATCCCATGAAATTTTTTCCGAAATTATCGCTTTTAACTTTTCGCAAAATTTCGTAATTTTCTTAGAATCGGGGGTTCGTTGAAAAAATGCTGAAATTATTTCAAAAATTAGAAATTTTTTATTTTTTGTCAAAAACTTCGACTTTTGTGATCATTTTAAGCATAAAATTTTGAAAATCCGACATAAACTGCAAAAGTTATGGGGGTTTGAAGTTGGTCGAAAATGCAAATTTTTAAGTTTGGCGCCACGCCATTGGGCCAAATATGAGTTTTACACGGAAATATGAATGAATCCTTCATCTGGGATCCTAGTAGATTCTAAAAAACATAGTGGGTACCCTGGACTCAAACGACAGGTCATGAGTGTCCCTTGTAAGTTTAAAAAACTCGGGTAGAGTACAATTTTACATTTTACTAGTCTTTCTCATATTGTTGACCAAATTTTCTCTATAGTTCTAAATTTATTTACAACGATTGTACATATATACGCATAGATCGGATATTTTGCGTACTCCGGCCTCCGGCAAATTTCGCGTACTCCGGCCTCCGCGTACTCCGTACTCCGGACAAAGTCGCGTACTCCGGCCTCCGGAGGCCGGAGTACGTACTCCAAGCCCGGAGTACTCCGATCTATGTATGTACGTACACCTATAAGCCCGTCTAAAGGACGTACCACATTTCCAATTTTACACGAACATATCAGAAGTACGTTGCTAAGAAATTTTTTACGTTATTACGAACTTTTTTTACGTGGCTGTTGCTAAGGAATTCCTTTACGTTGCTAACGAAAAGTTTTACATTGCTAACAAAATTTTCTTACGTTGCAAAGGAAATTTTCTTACGTCGCCAAAGAATTTCTTTAATGTTGCTAAGCAAATTTTTGTAAGTTGTTAGCAACGTTTTTACGTTGCTAAGGAATTTTTTCAAGTTGGTCTGGAATTTTTAACGTTGATAAGGAAATTTTGTTATGTTGCTAAGGAGATTTTTTTACGTTGCTAAGCAATTTTTTTTATGTTGCTAAGCAATTTTTTGACTTTGCAAAGGATTTTTTTACGTTGCTCATAATGATAATCATTATTGTAATCATAAACTTCTATCCCTTCTCTGATTGGTGGAGCTGTAATGTCAACACGGTTGACACAACAGTCAATCAGAATGCTGGGGTGCCACGGAAAATTTCACTGAACGGACTTTTTGAAATTATACAGGGTGTCCCATTTATTCGTGTGAAGGTTTCAGACAACCGTGCTCACTTGCGGGTAAATTAAATTCAAACCTGAAGCCAAAATCGTGTAGAGCAACTTAAAAAATAGTTTCTGATTTTTTTGCAAACTTATTTTAAAAAGTGCGACCACTGTGATCCACTGAAGCTGAGGTACGAGTGAAACACTTTTCCAGATCATTTTTTACGGGAATCGTTATAAAACTTAGCTCAAATTATATTGCCATCAAATCAGTTTGCATTTAAATTATACAATAATGCATGGTAGACATATCCCAATTCAATCCAATCGTCTAACGGTATTATCACCTTCGAAAAACTACCGACTGCAGGACGCCGAAAAAACTGAAAATTTTTTTTGGCTTACTAAACCCACCACCAAGATCCGTTATCCCAATGCCGCACGGTCCAACTGTGAGATTGCAATAAATCAACTATCCAGAGAGAAATTAAAATTGATTTGGGAAAGATTATAACAAAAATGACCTACTGTAGGTCGACCCATTGAGAGAAATCAAACTTTTTTCCGCTAAGTGTGGAGAAATCTCACCAGTTCGCAAAAACGGACGACGATAATTTGGCTACTGCAGTCATAAAAAATAAAGACCCCCCTGGGTGGTTGTCAGACATCGATCGATTGGATTAGTTCGGATTTTTCATTGTGGAAAGTTAATTTTAACATTGGACGATTTACGCATTTTCACGTACTTTGGAACGCTTCAAATAATGAGTGAACAAAAAACACCCTAGAAAATGCCTGGAAGTATTTTCGTCGGGTAAAAAGCGATGCATTCTTAAAGTTAAAAACTAGGGCCGTCATATCGAATGAATTTCGCCTTTGACAAAGATCCGCTTGTGGCGTAAAAAAGTGCCAAACCTTTCCACGAATAAATGGGACACCTCGGTAGTATTTACTAATTAATTTTAGTTTTAAGTTGCAAGATTTTATTTTTCAAGGTAATTATAATTATAATTAATTCATTATAGATACTTACTTGGTACAGCTTTCCCGGATGCGTCTGGCGGTATTGACGAAATTATTGTATAGATGTGTCCATACTTATAATAGCTGTTATAAGGATGACCAGTTGCAACGGCTTTTGATTTTTCAAAAATATTTTCAATCTTGACATTCCTGCACAAAATTATAAGTAATTTACTAATTATTAATATTAATTACTACTTATTTTTTTCTAAGTATGTATTAAATAAATGATTCCAAAACCTTAAAGTGACCCGTTGAACGGAAACGAGCCAATTAGTATAGCTGGTTGTCCACGTGACGGGTCCCTTAATCTCAAACATCTCACCAGCTCGCACCAAATCGGGGAATACTGATTCCACACGGAGATGTAAGAATAGAAGGAAGCAGTCCTCTTAAATACCCAGATTATTTCCGTTAGCACAAATTTCAAATTTACAAATGTCAAGTTGAATAAATATCGCTCCAAGTAGCACGATGAGGAGGTGTGAGGTGGTTATCGCCGATATCGACCGGACTAATTTTAAATTGTTCACACTCAGAAATAAGCGCACCCGAAATTTGCGCGTTCCTGAATGGGCATGTTTACGCGGTTAGCAGAATTTCCAAAAAATGAGCCAAAATCAGGATTATTAAAAATGCTATAACTTCGAATTTCGAATTTTAACCCCATTTTAAAAATTAAACCCAATTTGTGTTCAGAATTATATATGTACATCTCTGAAAATATAAAAATTTATTTTTAAAATTTTTAGAAATTTGATATTTTCATGCTAGATATTTCTGCATTTTTAGAAACCCAAAAAACGAGAATTTTTTTAAAAATTAAAAGTAAAAAAAAATGAATTTTCAAATTTTCAGGGATGTAATTCTCGAAACAAATTTGGTTTAATTTTTGAAATCTGTTTAAAATCCTAAAAGTTACAGCACTTTTAAAAATCCTAATTTCGGCTGAATGTTTTTTTGAAAATTCTCCCCAAGGGCGAGAAGATGCCCATTCAGAAAAACTCAAAAATACGGGTCCGCTTATTTCTGGGCCTGAAAAATCTAAAGTCCGGTCTCGATCGGTGGTAACCACCTCACACGTCTCCATTGTCAGTATTGGGTCACATTTATGCTGTAGAAGAATGTAATATTACCAGGCGTGTTGCACTTCGGCGTGGGAGCCACTGACCATTCTGCCTGACAAAAGTGGAGCAGGGCAGAGAGCACAAGAACCACCGTGATGCCCATGATTGTCCTACGACTGGTATGCAGACCAATTATTTTTTTCAATCTGACTTTGTGGCAGGAGTCACTCTAACGCATACGGCTTACATACATCACCGCTGGACAGAAAAGGTAACGAAATACTGACTCCTCAAAACGGCGTCGCTACGTTTAAAAGGAGATGCATAACTGTGGCCAATTGGCCATTACACTATGTATGCAACTAACACGTATAGTTATCAAAATTAATTCTATTGATTCCATGACTATAAAAGACACCGGCGGAACGAGCCATGGAGAAATTGGGTGCTTGATACAAAACCTATTTTCTTATATAATCACGTATGTATGTACAATGCAGAGGTCAACGCCGATCGATTTGGCGGCGGCGGCGGCGCCAATTTTGGGGATTTTTCTGCGCGGCGGTGCGGTGCGGCGCGGCGTCTCAATGTTGAAGGGATAGGGAATTAGATTTATCGGTGGCGGCGGCGCCTAAAATACCATCGGCGTATGGCGGCGCGGCGGCGTGAGATCGGCGGCGTTGACCTCTGGTACAATGCAAAATAAGGCCGATATGATTATATCCGAAGGATATCGTCATCCCTTATTTGCAATAACACGGATCCAATCAGGTTAATAGGTAATACGGAATGCGGATTTGATACGAGTTTTCCAATTTTTAGGATCGGGTCGATACTATAATTAATGATTGGGAACGGGATTACCGGCTCCACTCCGAAAATGTACGTGCGATTTAATTTCTCCCGCTGTGGTGTGTATGTATGTGTGACTCCAGCACCGTTATTGTAAACTTTGCACCACATTGTGCTAATATTGACACGGAATATTATTAATCGGCCCAGTAAAATAGTAAAAAGTACCCAGTAAAGTGGTAAAAACCAATAATAGTAACTGTTGCCCAGATAAAAAGTTTTATGAACCCAATATTAAAGTAAAAAGGTCCAATAATCTTGTTCACCAAATTACCTTATTAATACAATATTAAGCGTGATATGCAAATACATAGTGGTATGTAGGTATCTTTTACTCAGAGCTTGAAACTTAGCTATCTAAACAGATAAATAATTGCAGTCAGTCACCCTCTTGTTGTTCATAGTTCTTGTCAGTTTTTTGCCATGGCCTCCCAAACATTGTGTTTCGAGTTTCGACACAGGTGATTCTGAATCCGATTTAGAAAATAAACCCGAAGTTAAAAGGCGCAAATTAAGCACGTGGGAGGAGTTGAATACATTTTTAGACATTACTGATGCCAAAAAATGCATTAAGGATCGCTCTGAGTGGGTGTATACAACAAAATATTCTTCGTTTGAGGGAGACATTCTTCTATACAATTGTCGTTTCTCAGCGACGTGTTCCTCGAAATGCAAAATAGTTCTGCGAAGCTCGACATTACGGTTGACAAGTCTGTCGAGAATCACGATCCTGTACAAAAGGATAGTTTTAAAATATTGAATGAAATGTAGTTATGCAGCACTTTACAAATAATACAGAATCTTTACAAATAATACTGTACCAATAGACGATATCAATAGATATTTAATTTACGATTAAGAGAACGACGAAGTTGGAAGACTTTTGACACATACAAGAGTTGTTTAGGCAGGCTTTGGTTAGTGAAATTTAATACTCCTCAGTGGATTAAATCTTCATGCTCGTGCCCTGTATTCTTAAAAATGTATGTCTGTAAACACATAATGGGCATTACGATTGTACACAAATTGTTTGAAGTCTGTCCAGAAGCTAAAATGATTCCAATTGGAACTCGTCGCGGCCCTGGACGCCCTTCCAAAGCCAAGAAGGCATTAATTACTATGTAAAAATTTATCATCGAATAAGGTGGAGGAAATAAATATTTGATTTATGTTTGTAATTCTCCATTTTGTATCGTTTTTATGTATTACGACATTATTGGACCTTTTTACTTTAATACTGGGTTCATAAAACTATTTATCTGGGCAATAGTTACTATTATTGGTTTTTACCACTTTACTGGGCATTTTTTACTATTTTATTGGGCGTGTTAATTGTATGCCTATTGACACCAAGGGGTAACAATTTATTCCCACGAGTGTCATTACACCATGCATTTATAAATATATCTGCGGTGGAGTGTATACACACCGCTTGACCCAATATTTTTTTAGTGTGCCAGTCAGATGAATGACATTAAAAGTTTAAAGAAATCATGCAATACATCAGCGACGACTTCAAGTGAAAGTATTATTCTAAATATTCTGGGATTTTGACACGTTGCTCAATTACGAAATTATGAACACATTGCAGTCACTACAGAGAATGGTCGGAATTAATTATATTGTTTAATCAGGCAGGTTTCCGTACACTGTAAATAATCTGATAATAAACATTGTCGAAAAGCACAAGTATATTTATGTATAACTCTACCAAAGTGGTAATGATAAGTTGTACCGTGTGGTAATGCCTTGATAATAGAGTTTTAACATCATGGTAACATCATCAAAATAACGAATTTTTACCACCTGGTAAAATATTATTGCCAAATTTATTACCAAGAAATCACTACCTACGTGACTTTACCGGATTATTAAGAGTGGCATGCTTATACATAAATAAGTTAAGCTAGGTTAGGAGAGCTCCAAATTCCAGCGACATACGGATTAAAAATTTTAATTTCACTTATGTAAGTTACATAATGTAACTAATAAATTCAATACGTGCTCGTACATAATATCTGTGCAAGCTAAACAATATCACACACAATAGAGATCAAACTTACATATGTACGTTAAAATTCCAAAGTCCTTTATTAATTCACTACGTTTGTCATCCAGTAAATAATTTTATTACCAAATTTTACAAAAAGATTAAAGATGTGTTCGCAAGAAATACGAATTTTAGCCCGAGTTTCTTTCATAACCTTTGCAAATTGGTTGAAATTGTTAAGTTCTGCGATTAAATTATCATTCACCATTTAAAATGATCTTCTTTACAATGATTTTCGTTGAGCCGGAATGCGACAAAATTCGTGCGGATGTTTGTAACTCAGTTTGCAAATTTTTTGCAAAATAAATACGTATTTACAAATTTACTAGACTTGTAACCCAATTTTTCTTCACAATCTTTATAAACTTGACGATGCGTTCGTAATTTTACAAAATTTACTACACGAGACCCTCACCAATTATACATTTAACGCAAAAATTTCGCACAGATGTTCGTAAACCAGTTTGCAAATTTTTGTAACGTTCTCACGTTCTTACAAATATTTACGACAGATTTGTAAACACCTGCAATTTTCTGGTTTTTAAACTTTCAGCAAATATCGGTTGGTATAAAATGGTTTTCAATCCATGACATGTTGCCTACAGACATATCTTAAGCAATTGCGAAAATATATGTATTCAACAATGGAGGTCTCGCAACGTATATGGACCAAACTAGCGTCAATCGATCACAAATATAATTAGTGTGAAATTTATGAATGGAACTATATACCAATGCGAAGGTTTGCGGGGATATTTGCATCCACAACGTGACAAATGTGAAGAAAATTTGGAAAATGGCAAATTTTACCAGCCTTGGGGGTGCGTTTTCTTTTCTTTTTATGCAAATATCTCCGATAAACCTGCGCATTGGCAGATAGTTCCATTGGCAAATTTCATACTGATTATATTTGTGATCGATTGACGCTAGTTTGGTCCAAATCTGTGAGAATACGTTGCGAGACCTCCATTGTTAGCGTGTGTCAAGTTGACACACGCTAATGTTTTCGTGATGTCAGGAAAAAATATCTGGCCCGTGGCCAGCAGTCTCTGAGACCTTTTTTGGCTTGCAGGGTGTCCATTTTTGCCTTCGGTCAGCAGGATGTCCCGACACGCCCGACATTAAGGCGGGAAAGTATGGTGTCCACTATGATAAGACGCTTAATTATTAACTTTTGAGGTTATCTATGTATAACCCTGATCGGAGACAGAAATGGCAAATTTGGGTGATGTATATTTCCAGTTTAATTAAACTCTGGTGCGATAGCATTCGGGTGTCGAGTTTGAATTGTTATGTCTCAACTTTCCCATCCCCATATATTCAAATGGCGATTTTGAAACCACTTACCACCAACCACAACATGAAGATTTTAATGCCTTTAAAAATTGGAGAGCTTTAGTTGGAATTTTAGTTATGAATCATAACTTATGATACGTAAATTTAAGTTCTGTCCATGTCCTATATTTTTCCAAGGTTTATTCAAATTGACTTTATTCATCTTCTGAATTAATGAATGATACGTAATTATTGACAAATCGTCGGACTAATTCCGAAAGGGCCAAGGTGCCATCGATATTTAATTCCGAAAGGGCCTAAGTGCACAAGAACAACTATTGAAAAGACCTAACTGCATTTTCAATATAACTGCATATCGTCGTACTAATTCAGAAAAGACCTAAGTGCAGTGGATGCTTTATTCAGAAAAGACCTAAGTGCAGTCGGTGTTTAATTCAGAAACGACCGAAGTGCAGTCGATGCTCAATTCAGAAAAGACCTAAGTGCACAGAAAAAAAGCAAAAAAGGACCTATGTGCAAGTATGTATTTACTTATGGCTAAATCTTGCCAAAATGATTTTTCATATATATCGCGCGATTTAGCCATAAGTAAACACATACTTGCACATAGGTCCTTTTTTGCTTTTTTTCTGTGCACTTAGGTCTTTTCTGAATTGAGCATCGACTGCACTTCGGTCGTTTCTGAATTAAACACCGACTGCACTTAGGTCTTTTATGAATAAAGCATCCACTGCACTTAGGTCTTTTCTGAATTAGTACGACGATATATAACCGCAATACCTGAACCTGTGAATATTTAATTTTTTAAATTTTACCATATTTAGTTCAATACTAAAGGTCGGTCGTGACCATCGTAGAGTTAAAATTTAAAAAATTAAATATTCACAGGTTCAGGTATTGCCGTTATATATGCAGTTATATTGAAAATGCAGTTAGGTCTTTTCAATAGTTTTTCTTGTGCACTTAGGCCCTTTCGGAATTAAATATCGACTGCACTTTGGCCCTTTCGGAATTAGTCCGACGATATGTAATTTTCTAATTTATTTTACTAGGTTGTCACAAATTAATATAATTACATCATCTACTAAATTTTATTTCGGCATTCTCAGCTGAATAATTCATGTATACGGAGCTATGTAGGTGTTCCTACAAATTGATTGACAAGAATGGTCAAAAATGGGTTGGAGTATGACTTGAACTTGTCATTTTTCGGACCTTGTCCCGTCTCTGTTTCCCTTCCGGATTCAATTGGAATAGTTAGCTTAGCCGGTTTCTCTGATGCTGTGATGACTTCTCTGGGCGCTGATGTTGAAGGAGTTGTACTAGTCGTCGTAGTAGGTGTCGTTGGATTATTCTCGGACAAGACTTGCTCCAAGAGTTGTTTTATAACAGCCATGCTCCAAATGGGGACACTAATTGGTTTAGTTTCTTCCGGGGTTAGGGTTATAATGTCGTTTCCTTTATAACGGAATGGGTCGACGTCAATCAGTACGGTAGGCACTGCCAGTGGTAGTGTGACCGCCGTAGGAGCAGCTGTAATTCTTGTGGGAGGTGAAATGGTGACCGGCGTCGGTGAGGTGACTCTAGTTATCGTCGTAGGTGGTGTAGCTCCCGTTGGTGTCGTTGGTGTAGTGGTAGTAGGTGTCGTGCGTGTAGTTGTCGTGGGTGTACTTGTCGTGGGTGTAGTTGTCGTGGGTGTAGTTGTCGTGGGTGTAGTTGTCGTGGGTGTAGTTGTCGTAGGTGTGGTTGTCGTGGGTGTAGTTGTCGTGGGTGTAGTTGTCGTGGGTGTAGTTGTCGTGGGTGTAGTTGTCGTGGGTGTAGTTGTCGTAGGTGTGGTTGTCGTAGGTGTAGTTGTCGTGGGTGTGGTTGTCGTAGGTGTAGTTGTCGTGGGTGTGGTTGTCGTAGGTGTAGTTGTCGTGGGTGTGGTTGTCGTAGGTGTAGTTCTCGTGGGTGTGGTGATTGCAGGCGTCATAGTAGAATCCGTTGGCCTAGTCTCCGTTAGGAACTTGCCCCTACCTATTGAGGCCATTGTGTATCCCTGCCGAATTAGGTAAATAAATCAGTACCTAGTCAGTTGACCTATTCTTACATTGTCTACAAATTAGTAAATATCCATCCCGCATAATTTCCTAACCTACCTTAAACTTGCTCGTGATATGGTCCAATAAAATGGGCGATATTCTTGCAACTAACTCGATCTTTATCAACTGAGTCATTGCCACTGCTAATTGCCCCCACGCCTCATCCCTGGCCGGCTCATCCGCTGCGAACCAGTTCGCCAAGGTTATCTGGGTAATGGTGCAATCCCAGTACGTCGAGTTTGAATGGAATTCCAAAAACCCTTTGTCGTCCAGTCGAAATAATAGCGTGTGATGTGCCGATATCTGGACGCTTCCAGAAAATCCCCCTTCCATAAAGAGCCTGTCGTCTCCAAGTGTCCCGTTAAGGGAATATTCCCCGCTAACTAGGAACAAAATGACAGTAACATTAGCTCCGCTAACTTTAAAATAACTCGGGTAGAATAAAGCTTTACATTTTATTAGTCCTTCTCATATTTTTGACCAAATTTTCTCCATAGTAGTAAAATTATTTACAAGGATTATGCATAAATACTTACATGGAACAGATTTCTTGGACGCGTCTGGCAATATTGAGTAAAATTCTGTATCGATTCTTCCATCGATATTATACTTGTTGTTATAAGGATAACCAGTGGCAGCGGCTTTTGATTTTTCAAAAATATTTTCTATCTTGACATTCCTGCACAAAATTATGAAAAAAACAGTTACTACTTAAACTACTTAAATACCATAAGTTTGTAGCTATGTATCGTACAAATACGTTAAGCGGGCTTATGCACATATATTTGGCAGTATATATTCTTAACTGGTAGTAAGTTTTTACCAACCGGATATTCGACTTTATCGGGTTTTTAAGGCTGCATTCCAAAATGCCGATTAAATGAAATTTCGCACGGGGACATAAACCCCTTTTTGTGAGTGCAACATTTCTTTCTGGTAATTTGTTACCCAACCAGTAATTATTTACAACCCTGACGTGCTGTATTCCAAATTAAGCAGCTAATATCACAATTTGCCTCCCAGATACATACATTCACCCTCTAATTTTTCAAAAACCTTAAAGTGACCCTTTGAACGGAAACGAGCCAATTAGTCGAGCTGCTTGTCCACGTGACGGGTCCCTTAATTTCGAACACCTCACCAGCATGGACCACATCGGGAGGTACTGGTTTCACACGGAGGTGTAGGAAGAGAAAGAAGCAGTCCTCTTAAAAACCCAAATTATTTCAGTTAGAACAAATTTACAAATGTCAAGTCGAATAACGGAAGATTATCAGGGAAAAAATGGCCAGATTAGAAGGAAGAAATATGGATAATTTATGGATAATCGAGCGCGTAACAAATATCCCAGGGTAGACTAATCTAATGGAAATTAAACGGGAAATTTCGAAGTTTGTAGTTAATATAAATTACTGAATTATTTTTTGCTTTTAGTTTAAGAAAAGTAAGAAGTAAAAAAAATAGGAAAAATCCATCACGGGGTTGAACGCTCCTGACTTTACAATTTTTCTTTCGGAAGTTGAGGTTAAATTTTGTTTCAATGTACCTCAAACTGTAACCTACGCTGTAATATATGTCGTCTTCATCCTTTCATTTCTATGGTCTCACCTCAAATGTTACTTAATATTAGTTCAAATTTATGCTGTAGAAAGATGTAATATTACCTGGCGTGTTGCACTTTGGTGTGGGAACCACTGACCATTCTGCCTGACACAAACGGAGCAGGGCAGAGAGCACAAGGAGCAGAATTATGCCCATGATTGTGATTTACCAATTATTTTTAATCTGACTTTGCAGCTCGAGTCACTCTAAGACTTGTGCGAATACACCACCGCTGGACATAAAAGGTGACGAAATACTGACTCCTCAGAAAACTGCGTCGCTAAGTTTAAAAGGAGATTGTACATACATACAAAACTGTGGTCATGCCACTATGTAACTAACGCGTATAGCTAATTATGTATACTTGTTGAAATTAATTCTATTGATCCCATAATTAGACAAGACACCGGCGGAACGAGCCAAGGAGAAATTGTGTGCCTAATAAAAACCTATTTTCTTATATAATCACGTATGTACACGTGATCACGTAATCACGTATGTACACGTGATCACGTAATCACGTATGTACACGTGATCACGTAATCACGTATGCAAAATAAGGCTGGCATGATCCGATCCGAAGGATATCTTCATTCGTCATTTGCTATAACAGAGATCCGATCCGGTTAATGTGGAATGCGGATCGGATAGGATTTTCCAATTTTTCGGATTGGATCCATGCTATAATTAATGCAGTATCTCCGATGGGAACGGGATTACAGGATAGGATCGGATCGGATCCGGTTTCGGGTCGGATAGAAGTTTCCCAACATTTCGGCCAAGCAATAATTAACGCAGTATAAAATGATCGCTCCAATGGGAACCGCCTTTACGACAATAAATTCTTTGCTGCCGTGGTGTGTATGTCTGATTCCAAAGCCGTTATTGTAAACTTTACACCACATTGTGCCAATATTAACACTAGCATTATAGATTTTTGGGGCAAAGTGAGACAAATCTCAACTTGTCCCAAAAACCTATTTTTCGTGACCTAGAGGTCATGATTCGTGAAAATCAACAATAAAAAATTTTTCCCCCCAAAATCACAAAAAACTTCGCAAAATCCCGACGGTGTCGTTTCGACGCTATTTTCATCAACTTTGACCTCAATTTGCCAAAAACCTCTGTCTCAGATCTGACCAAGGTCATGACCTAAGTTAGTCCTATGATAGTACTTCAAAACGCAGAAATGATTTCCTGCGCAAATTCAGTATCAAGGATTTGGGAGCCCTTTAAAGATGGTCAATTTCAGGAATTTTTGCAGCCCTCAGGAAAGGCAAGTTTGACCCGCGTTTATAGGAACACTATTGCTTATAATGGAGCAAAGGTTAAGCTGTTACATAGTAGTGTGACCGTAGCCTAGGATGCATAGGTCAGTTGGTGATAATGTTTATCCTTAAGGATTTAGTAGCCCTTCAAAGGTCCCTTCCCATCCCCCTTTTTCGTGATGTTTTTTTCGTCAACTTTGAGCTCAATTTGCGAAAAACCTCCGTCTCAGATCCGACCGAGGCGGTGACCTAAGTTAGTCCTTCCAAATTCCGAAATAATTTCCTGCGCAAATTCAGTTTCAAGGATTTGAGAGCCCTTCAAACCTGGCCATTTTGACGATTTTTGACAAAAACACCGATCTTCCGCTACATTTTATTTTTTTGCGAGACAATGGTAAGAGCTAGGGGCATGTATGATACCTCATTTTCATCAGCGTTAAATTCTGAACAAAGTGGGTGTGGTTTTAGGGGCGATTTGCGACTTTTTGAAAATTCCATAGACACCCCCCTCCTGACCACACCCACTTTCGAAAATCAAAATGAACCACATTTTTATGTTCTCCGACCCCCATACGAGGATTTTGGACCTTAAAATAATTTTGGCAGGATTTTCAGTCTCCCAGGACATTGTGTAGCGGTATACTTAGTAAAAACGAGAAGCACTTTTTAAAGAGTTCTTTCTGCTCAGAAGCGTCCGCTTCTTACAAGGGAAACCTCCGAGGTGCCGGTTGAATCCAGGGTTCCCACCTATGCCAAAATGACCACAACATGCGATTTATGACGTAAAGTGAAGGAATTTATGTGCAAAAATAACTTTTCGTCAATATCTGACGATATTTGTGACGAGCGTGTGAGCACGGATATCATAGAGTTTCGTCGTAAGACGTCCGGCTGAACACATGATCGTGTTTATAAATATTTAATTTTTATTGCAAACCACAATTTTCATTTAATTTTAAAAATTTTTACTCATAATTGAAAACTTAATTATAATTTTTTAGACTGTGTTGAAGTTGGCAAAATGGTAAATTTGGAATCAACGGTAGACCAACAAATAAATCGTCCTAAATTTCAACATTTCAAAAAAGTGTTTTCATTTATGGAATAAATTATCAAATTCTGGGACTGATTTTTAAACGATAAGCACATTAAATATATAGATGGTTACTTAATTAAATACTAGTAAACATGTACATAAAACATTTTAAAATGTTCACGAATTGTTATTCTCATAAACAAGAAAGTGCGAAATGGATTTATGTATTTGCAATGGAAAGTTTCATCAAATGGGCAATTGTCATCTATTTAATTTGCAACTTTGTTTCGGCCACTTTTGTGTTGAATACCACCACCACCCACTAACTAATGACGACATTAATTGACGTCCACACGATTTTGTTCACAGTTATGAATAAAATGAAAATGAAAATTATATTAATTGAGAATTTGAATTATGCGAGAACTCTTTGCATTCTCCGAGTCGCACGCTTCGTCACTTGAATCCACTCTCAACCGTGCCCACAAGCCCGTCACAAATATCGTCACAGATTGACGAAAAGTGATTTTGCACGTAAATTCCTTCACTTTACGTCATAAATCGCATATTGTGGTCATTTTGGTATAGGTGGGAACCCTGGATTCAACCGGCACCTCGGAGGTTTCCCTTGTAAGATATTCTTTACTTAGGAGTAGGGTGTCACATGTTGTCAGTCTCAGATTTCGATCTACTTTAGGAGGGTTAGACTCCACGAGCCCATTTACGCAAGCCACACCCCCTCAAAGGCGCCAAAACCCCCAGAGTTGCCGCACTAAAATCATCGCCAAAAATCGAGTTTTGGTCAGATTTTCAAGAAATTTATATTTTCGTGATCCCAGAGAGTGGCTCTATCATATCCAATAGCAAACTCAACTTTTTTGAAACGAGTCACCTAATTGTCCAAGTTTTAAAAGGTAGATCAAAATGAAAGGTTTCGCCATTTTTGTACTCTGCATTGTTGCCGCGTCGGCCGGCGTTGTTACGCACGAAGGATGTGGTAGGTTTGTGAAGATTAAAAATAAACAGTCTGCTTTTGTATGTATCACGCAGGGTTCACAACTACATATGTTTTTATGGAATGAAAATTATTTACGTGTAATATATGTTAAGACTTTTGCTAATATTTAACTTGACACCATTAGGTAATGTTGCACTAGATTTTGATGAAGCATTATTATGTACCGACATGATGGAAACTTTTAACTATCTCTTTACTATGCCTTGTTATTTATAAGCTTTGCAGGGTCATATGTATGTGTTTTGGTAATAATTATTACCTAAATATTTGCAGAGTGAGTGATGTTGTGGTGTTTTTGTATGGTGTTTTAAATGTGTTGTAAATATGTATGTGCGCCATGAATCATTCAACACATCTACAGTGGGTGGTCCCGGACTTCACATAGTATACATATTCTGAATCTACTTGCCAAGATCTTTCCAATGATACCCAATTTATGGGGTGATGTGACGTTTAAAATTTTTGTTTTGAAGTTATTTTTTGAAAATTTTATTTCAAATGTCCAAAAACGCTCGATTCGGGTTGTAGAGAAACAAATTGGGATTTTTCCATCATGGAAAAATCCAGAAATCCGTTTCCCCGTTTGCACTTTTAGCGACTTTGGGCCCCTCCCCCCGGGGAAAGGGGCGGAGTTGAACATTTAAATTATTGGTACCCTTGCACTCACAAAAATCACCTCTACAAAATATGAAAACCTTAACAAAATCACCCAATTTTTTTCTGTCTTTCGAAATTCCGGTTTTCATTATTGCTACTTATTGCTACATTATTGCTACTGCGTTTTACCAAAGTTGCATTACTTACGGAACACCTTCTAAAACGAATTTTTACCACCGGGCAAAATATTATTGCCAAATTTATTACCGAGAAATCATTACCTGCGTGACTTTACCGGATTATTAAGAGTATAATGCTTATACAAAAGTTAAGCTAGGTCAGAAGACTTCCAAATTACTGCGACACATGAATTAAATATTTTAATTTACCTTATGTAACATTCATAATGTAATTAATTAATTCAAGACGTGCTTGAAAATAAGATCTGTGCAAGCTTAACAATTTCATGCACAAAAGAGATCAAACTTATGTACGTTCCAATTCCAAAGTCCTTTATTAAACTGTCAGCAAATATCAGTTAGTATAAACTTGTTTCAATTCATGACATGTTGCCTACGAGTAACAATAATGTAAACCAGAATTTCGAAAGACAAAAAAAATTGATTTTGATAAGATTTGCACCGTTTGTAGAGGTGATTTTTGTGAGTGCAACGGTAAAAATAATTCGGTTCAACTCCGCCCCTTTCCCCAGGGGGAGGGGCCGAAAGTCGCAAAAACTGCAAACGGGGACACGGATTTCTTCATGATGGATAAAGATATCGAGATGCTACTTTCACCAAAAGTTTCCTAATTTTTTTCTCTACAACTTGAATCGAGCGTTTTTTGAAATTCGAAAAACAAAATTTCAAAGGTGGTAACACTATGGTAACAAATTGTCTTCTGAGGGTAAGAAGTTGCCTCCTATATCGGAAACATTTTTATTACCTGCGCGTTGACATTAAAGCTGAGCAGGATTTAGCCTATGTATATATCCTACCCTTCGGCGATAAATTATTACCCGAGCGGTATAATTGCGTAGTACCTCCGCCGGAGACAATATCGTCAAAAAATTATTTAAAGTGTACTATCATTTCGTCATTTCATGACTTCATCTAATTTCATTATGGTTTTGATAGCTTAATTGCAAAAGCGTCTGACACGTATTCAGAGGATGCGGATTTGATTCCTCCCAGAGCGACTAAATTTTCACACGATGGCATTTCCCTATTAGAATTAAAATATTTAACTCAAGTATATAATTATGTAGCCTTTGTCGTATAAAATGTTATACATGATTCAGTTGTCATTGTACGTAATTATTTTGTTCCACTTGAGTTGGACCATGGTTTCAGAGTCATCTGTCACATAAGAAACAAAGGGATTTTATTGAGACCACGTTGGCGTGAGCACGCCCATTATATAGCAAATCATACCGATATAAATGGAGTAGTTTCATCCTCCAGTTTAACTTGACGTGGCTCTACGATTGTGTTATGTATATATGATTATACATAAATAAGTGGTACACAGTGAGAGGAGACAGAGGAGAGTATTTATTGGAAGAGAGTTAAAGATGGAGTGATGTACAGATTCAGAACTAATTACATATACATATCTACGTAGGCATACATATACCTAACACTACCCTCTCACGAAAAAATTTTTCTCCTGAAAAATAGTCTGAAAGAGTGTGTAGGTCTGCAAACTAAAAATTTCAGTACTCACAATTTGAATTAGAAATTTTGAGGGTTGGAGACATAGGTAAAATTCATGGAAGAATGAAGTATGAAATGACTCCGGAAAACAAACATGAACAAAGATTTTGCATGAATAACATTGAACAATTTAATACACATATCAAATGACGCAGTAAATTTGCAGGGCTGGAACTTGAGAAGATGGTATGGCTCGCAATCGGTGGTGGAAGTGTGTCATCTCAGACGTGGTGGTGGTTGACTCATATAAAACTTGCAGATTGGGACAAAACGATGAACAAAGAAAAATACATTTTTATGGTCGTGGTATGTGGTCCATCGGGACATCGGAGATACATAAATACGCAGACTTGTGAGGGTTTTATCTGGGTGACCCATAACCGGACAACTCGAAGACGCAGGGTTTTCTGTGGGTGACCCATAACCGTGACTCGTTAAAAAAGGGGAAGTATGTACAATGTGGATTTCCATACTTGAACACGCAAATAATATGTAGACGTTGCTCATTACAAACATTAATCTCAAGGCGTTATATTTCATTCTCAGCCTGGGAAAGTGGTGACAACGCAGATCGAGTATAAAAGTTCAGCAGAATTTTGAGACAAAGCGAATCAGATTACATTTTTGCAACAAAAACTGATAAAAAATTGGGACAATTTTCCAGACGAAATGAATAAAAATGAGTTTTTTGCATATATTTTGCAGAAGTTTTGCAAATTTTGAACGAATTTTGATGAAAATTTTTCAGAAATTAAACGGAATTTTTTAACATTTCTTTTACGATTTTTTTTACAATTTTTAAGGACAATTTTGCATATATTTTTTGACGTGTTTAAAACAAATATCGTAATTTTGAATTTTGCATAATTTGATTATTTGCTTGAATTATGAAATGTAAATTTTGGACTGGAGAGTTGGAAATTGTAAGAATGGGGGAAGATTTTCAGGGTGATTTAGAACCAATTTACAGACCTGATAGCATCCGGGAGGATAATCCAATTTACAGACCAGATGACGAAAATTCACAAAAAAAAGACACGAAGGTTTCACAGGAAAATCACACAGTTTGCACAAGATTTTGACAAAAGAGATTTGGGAAGTTTCCCTATCGGAAGCAAAATGACAAGCTCTAAGGGGCGGTGGTCAAGCTGCTTAATCGTCGCCGTCGTAGAAAATTTGGTAGGAGAGAGGGCTTACGAAGAATTTTGAAAATTTTAAAATCCATTGTGAGTGGGAGGAGCGAAAGAAAGTACTCTGCCGGTCCACCAATGTTATGTATATATGATTATACATAAATAAGTGGTACACAGTGAGAGGAGACAGAGGAGAGTATTTATTGGAAGAGAGTTAAAGATGGAGTGATGTACAGATTCAGAACTAATTACATATACATATCTACGTAGGCATACATATACCTAACAATTGACAACAACGCATTGTATCGTCTTGTTTTATGCCTGGTTTTATATTTTATCACCAACGAGTTGCCAAATGAGTTTCCAATTCTTGTCCAACCTCCAAACTTGTCAAGTTTATAATTCCACCAAATCTTTGTAATCAGTCTGTGAAATACTTATCCACGTTTATTATCCCTGATAAGGAAGGCAGAATTCCACCACGCAAATCTTGTATGCATTAACTAATGACTCATTAGCAATGAGCAGGTCCTAAGTTCTGAGAAGGCGCTAATCAATAGAGTGGACGTGATCGTAATTTAATGGGTAATTTAATGTTACCACCGTGTACACGTCCTCATTATAATTCTGAGAATTTGTTTGACCAAGAAATTCGAACATGTCTGCACCTTTTCAGTAAAAAATGCAGACTCGTGTCGATCTCAGTATGGCTAAGCATCAATGAGCACATGTGGCATAAATTAAATCCTGCATAGTGAATGAGTCAGAGTTCGGGGCATAAAACGTTGTGCTACATAATGACGAAAATTGTGTCCTATAATTAATACATATTTGCATACGCTTCTTTCCTTGCATTTAATTTCATCCGCAGGGTTTCACGAGTTTCTTTGTGCACTACCATACTCCCACGAAGGGAATATTTGACTGGGAACTTGTACATATGTATGAAAAAATGGAGTTTTTCCAGGAAGCAGGTAGGATTAATGGATAATTATGCCGTATCTGCTACATATTTATGTACTTCTCTCCTTCGTGTGTCATACATATTTGTATACTTATATTGTACCTCGTGGTTTTCCCCATTTCTCAATTACCTACCACCGGTCACCTACCAAGTTATTAAGTTTAAAAAAAAGCAGTAAAGAAAAAAATTCTGATTTTGACAAGTTTTCGCTTGCCGTCTTATCATGGTTTAAGAAATCATGGTTTAAAAAAGGTTGGGCAATCTTTACATGAAACTAAACATAAAAAAACATAAATTTAGTGAAAAAGATTTTCTGCGAAATACGCATGTTAGTAGATATGTAGACCATAATTGGCGTTGAATTTTTTGGCCTGAAAAGCGTTTTCCCGTAATTCACCGTGAGGTCTACCGAGTTATTGCGAATGTATTTATCTTTGCCTCCCGGAACCCTGTCCGATGATTGAACAAGCCCAACTTCTGTCACACGTATTGAATGATGGGGACTCTAATTATTGGTAATTTTAACACGAGCTCTGATGCCGAGTTGCCAATTTTTTTGCCTCCAACTCTAAATTTTATGTACATATGCACAATAAACCGTTACAGCAAATGTAATCAAGGGGCGAAAGAAGTTTCTCATATGTACGTTAAAATGAAGATCATATTGTTTTTGCCCTTTTCAAAAATTTTAACAAGGTCACTGAAGTGTCGCGGGTCAAAATTCTCAATGTTCAAAACCTGTTAAATTTATACACATCTAACGTGTTTTCGACATTTGTGGCAATTTAACATTTGCTAACCGTTTTGTGACCTTCGAGGTCAAAATGGAGGACACAATTGAATTCGGGGACAAATTTCAAATCGATGTACCTATATGCAATTTGACCTTTAAATGACATTTCATGACCCTTTGGTCTTGAAGGGCATGACCTACAGTGTCCATCTTCGAACTCGTCCTGTCCCTTAACGGTATGAGTTAACATTTAAAATTTCAAGTCTCTATGCCTGTCCGTTCAAAAGTGATCGGAGCCACGGACAGACAGACGGACAGACAGACACATCGATCCTATAAAGGGATTCTTCCCCTTAATAATAGGTGACAGAGGCACAAATGGCATCTGTGATTTCATCCAGAAGTATGAATGCTAAATAAAGCTTGTCAGTTTTTTGTGATTTTTAATTATGCAATTTTAACTCCTTAAGCTCCACGAATAATTTGTGTATGATGTCATATGCACGTTTTACAAATATTAAACTTGTTCTACACAACAACATCTCGAGTTTAGTCGTGGTTTTGGCACCCGTGCTAAACACAAAGTTCCTCCAACAAAAATATTGTGCACGGCTTTCATTACCTTCACCGCCTTTCAACTTCCAGGATGCCCGAACTCTCGCGATGTGCTCAAATCCCTTTAATAATATTCTTAAGCCTCGTCAGCATCGCTGCCATCCTGGGCAACGGTTTGGTCCTTTTGGCCTGGGCCTTTCACGCCCCTGTCCGAAAACCGCAGAACAGCTACCTCCTCTCGCTCGCCGTTGTCGACCTGCTCGTCGGCCTCATCCTGGCGCCCAGCATGATTGGGGAAATAGGGTCCCAAACGTGGCCCTGGGGGAGGGAATGGTGCCAGCTTTATCTCCTCGTCGACTGGCTGCTCACCACGTCGTCAGTCCTCCACCTCGTCGCAGTAAGTATGGATCGCTACCACGTGGTTTTTGACACCCTCACGTACGGGGTGAGACGCACGTTTCCCTTTTTCATGAGGAGGATCTGTCTCCTTTGGATCTTGACGGTGTGGCTGATTGCGCCAGAAATGCGGGACTGGGAGGCAATGGGGGATCGGAGTGTGGACAGGGGGATGTGTTTGTCAAGCGTGTCGAGAGAGTTAAGTGTTCACTTTGCGTTTGGAAGTTTTGTTCTCCCGGTGGCGTTACTGGTGGGATTAGGGTGTCTGGGGCGATGGGAGAATTTGAACGGAATCCACAACATCTTTATGTGAGGGGTATGTCCATTAAGGTTGGGTTTTGCTTGAGCAGAGAATGTGAGGGCTTTTGAAAATCGACACGGGGGACCTTGAGATTTTTGAGGGACCTGAGATTTTTGAGGGAGCATGAGATTTTTGAGGGACCTGAGATTTTTGAGGGACCTGAGATTTTTGAGGGACCTGAGATTTTTGAGGGAGCATGAGATTTTTGAGGGACCTGAGATTTTTGAGGAACCTGAGATTTTTGAGGGAGCATGAGATTTTTGAGGGATTTGAGTTTTTGAGGGAGCATGAGATTTATCTTCTAAATATAAGTTCTTGGACGGATTTTGAGATTTCTTATTGGGAAATGAGACAAAAATTATGATAAGGTCGGTGTTCGTTGTGGATTTATTAAATTTTCTCCCCTCGCCCCGAGTTCCCTAACCACGCTTTTTATTGGCCTCGACATACTCCGCCATTTACTACCGGTTGGAGCAAAGGTGGGAAACATTGCGGGACATTAGCAGCATCCGCTCCGAAGGGATACAGAGGGAGACAAGCATAACAGTTGGAACACGTGTGGAAGACGAGGTCTCAATTCTACAAAGGAACCGCCTTGCTTCGAAAATGCTGGGAATAATCATCAGTGCCTACGTCCTCACCTGGCTTCCCTTTACCGTGGATTATGCAATTAGCGGATTTTTACCCGAGGGGAAGAGACCCGCTCCGCTAATATCGGCGATTACGGTGGCAATCTGCTACTCTAACTCGGCCTGTAATCCGGTAATTTATGCCTATTGCAACCAAGATTTTAGAAAAGGCTTTACAAAACTGGTGACGTTCTGGAGGAGGAAAAAATAATTGTATATTTATCTAAATTTATGACTTTTAAATTTAAGTATTTGAATAACGTATTTTAATCCAACCTTATTTTAAGTTAAGTAGGATAAATTATTTTTTTTTCAATTACATAAATTAGAGTACTACATGCAAATGAATATTTAAAAAATTACCTTCGGGTTTTGTCACATTTTTATGGTAACGTCGTTAAAAAGAAAACTGCAGAACATGTAAACCATGAGAAACTAATGAGTAGAGAAAATTACAGTGAAAACCAATGACCTCTAGCTAGGGTAGCCGCGGGTAGCGAACATACTACCCACCCAACCCGCCACCCGCGGCGCAACTACCCGTACCCGCGGTATAACGACCTGTTATTTAAATAGGTATAAAAACACTATCAAAAGCGTAAAAATTTTATTTAACATGTCCACAAAAATGTAAATACATCATTAATGAATTACAACACAAGATAACAATTTTATTTAACCGCAAGCAACTAAGCTCCCTGAGCAACTTCGCCCCCGTTCCCCTCGTTCTGCAAGAAATTTGCGTACTGTTTCACCGCGAAGATACAAAAGAATTGAATGGACACTCCAAAAAATCCAAAAATTTGTAGTCCGTCCCGCGAAAAGGAAATTAGTGAAGGCACAAACAACACGTAGTTTATGTACAACCACGCCTTAATCATTCCCAGATGTTTCTATTTAAAATGAATAGATCAATTAATACAAATAATTAAAGAAAAATCCGAAAATTATCAACTTTTACCAACCATTCTCCATCCCGCCCAAAGCAGGCATGTACCGAGCGCGGTAAATATGTACTGACATGACTCCAAGAATTAAGAATGAAATGTCCAGATCGTGGTTCTGACCATCTGTAAAGCAAAATATATCGTATACCAACAGGGTGGTTTAAATGTGACGGTACAATGGAAAATTTTTCAGTACGAAAAATTCGTAAATTTCCATTAAATAGTTACCAAAATTTTGCCTACGAAATTACAAATTTTAGGAATTTTTAGCATCAGTGTTCCACCAATTTTGATAATAATTTTTAAAAAAATCTTGTAAGTAATGGAGTTCTAGGGGGTTTTCCACTTGTAAAATTTTCCACTGTAGCGTGACATTTAAACCACCCTGTAGAATAGAAATAAAAATAAGAATATGTAACATTCACTTACAGGACGCCCCATTCCAAGGGTTATACACCCAAAAGATCACCCCCCACAAGATTAGTACAGAAATCTATGGTACATAAAATGCAAGTCTAATCAAGTGAAATGAAATGCATTTTAAAGAAAATGACTGACAATGCGATGGTGTGAAGTGTAACCCTCCGATTTGGTTGAAATTTTGAAATTATGTGATTCATGTCAATACAACCAAAGTTTCTTCAGGCAGTTTATGCGATGGTCAGAATTTCCCACGATTTTTGAGGTCTAAGTTGAAAAACTGGCGATTTTTAGCACGGGAGGAAAATAGAAGTTGAGTTTGCTTCCTCCGCGTGTGCAAAACCTGTGTTTTTCAACTTTGACCTCAAACATTTTGGCAAATTCTGACCATCGCACAAACTGCCTCCAGAAACGTTGGTTGTATTGATATGGACCACATAATTTCAAAATTTCAATCAAATCGGAGCGTTACACTTCACACCATCGCATTGTGAATGTGGATGAAAATCTTCATTCAGAAATCGAAACGACTGAAAACTAAATTTTTGAAGAGGTATGTAGGCCCCTCTCGCCTTACGTAATTTATGGACGTCCCCTAACATGTAAAGGGTGTTAATAAAGTCCGATCCCATGAATTTTTTGGAGCGCGGTTGTTACAAATTCAGCTGGAACTTTTGAACCAGTGAAGTTATTTATTTCAAATTTTTACCATGGGAGGAACAACTAAACGTGTAAGTCATGAGCATCTTAGAGTTAAGATACAAACATTGCATCAGCAGGGGTTTAAACCTGCAGAAATTGTGCAAAAATTGGGCTGCAGCCGCAGAACTGTTTGGAAATGGAAGAACAAAAATTTTGTCCACGACAAAAAGCGACCCGGGCGACCCAGAAAGGTGTCACCTACCACAAAGAGAATGATTAAAAACAGACTTTACAAGAAAACCGGTAGTTCATTACGTAATTGTGCAAGGGAGTTAAATGACTCAAAACGCCATAAAGAGAAGAAGAAGCAAATTAACTATGTGACCGTGCAAAAATTTGTGAACTCTACGAGGTGGGGTCACACAGCTTACAAACTAACCAAAAAACCTCTCATGTCACAAAAAAATATCGATGACCGTCTGAAATTTGGAGAACTCCTTCAGAAAAGTGCCCATTTGAGTGAAAAAAGACTTGGTGAAGAATTGCGCAGTCACATCCTTTGGACTGACGAATCTATTATTGAGCTATATCCAAAATTGAACCAACAAAATGTTCGTTACAGGACAGAAAACAAATCGGATGTACCATCAAGAGCAGTCCCAAAATTCGGGCTTAAAGTTATGGTAGCGGGTGGATTTTGTGCACGTGGCGTGACTCCTCTACATATCATACCAAAAGGCCAAACAGTCAATGCAAAGTATTATATGGAAAAAATATTACCTATCTATTTCGATAGCATGGGGAACAAGGAAATATTTCCGAATGAAAGAAAAATAGTTTTCATGCAGGATGGTGCTATAGCCCATACAGCAAAAGCGAGTTTGAGTCTCATCAAGACGCAAGTTTCAACGGTCTGGAGCAAGGGGGTGTGGCCCGGAAACAGCCCAGATTTGAATCCCCTGGAGAACCTGTGGTCCATACTTAAGGAAAATGTATACAAAGAACCACAACCCCGGACGAGGGAAGAGCTAGTAAAAAAAGTTCAAGATGTATGGAATTCGATTCCCACAGACACATTGGAAAAATTAGCACAGAGCCTTAAACAAAGAGTTGAGGGCATGGTTAAAGTAAATGGTAACAAGACCAAATACTAAGGTAAATATGTCGAACATTTTTTATAAGTATCACGGGTAGTTTTTTTTATACTAGCCTTCACTTTTTTATAGGAAAAATGGGATCGGACTTTATTAACACCCTTTAGTTAACCTTATCATAATGTGCACCACATTTTTAACACGATTTTATTACAAATTGGTTCCATACCGTTTGCCAAATAGCCACCGTTAAAGTTCCGTTGCGAGGATTTGTGCACATTTTTCTGTCCGATAATGTTCACGCGAGCAGGACGGTTTCTCTTCATTTATTTCCAGCAGACTGAAACTGACAGTTACTGAAACTGATCAATTACTGACAGGAAGTCGGAGCGAGGTTACGAATTGATTACAACGAAAGAGCCAACACCAATCTGTAAAGCAATAAGATGTGGACAGGATGTGAATCACAGATTCAGAGAATTTGCAGCTGAGCTTCGGTTGATATGAGGATTTCGTAGCCTCAAATTTCTTAGTATTATGCAAATAAGAAGTTAATCATGTAACCACACATTGGGCTCGCGAGCCTATTTGAGTATTTTTAAATATATGAGTGTGGAATCATTAAACGTATGTTGTAGAGGGTGTTCTAAAAGTTTCTCCCGATGGATTTTCCGATTGTTTTATGTTGCTAGCTTTTACATCTGCAAGTTTTGTTGGGAATTTTTCTTTGCAATAACATACCAAAGGTAAAGTCTTCTCGCAACCACGAGGAATTGAGTATCCTTTTACTATCAAGTGCAGGGTTTGGGTTTATTTGAAAATGTGATAGTCTGGAAGAAGATTGGATTGCGGAGCAACAAAAAATATTTTAAACCAAAACGCAGTTCAGATAGTTTGAGGACACCGTCTCTTACAAAAAAATACTCAATCAATTACTAAATTCGATGGAAATTGGATAGTTCTAGAGGAGCCAAAATCTTGCATTACGGCACTTTTGGAATAATTGAGATACTTTGATCATTACTTTTGGGACTAACCTAGGATGACAAAGGAGGGTTGCCAGACATACAGGTTTCAGTTTAAAGCGCTTTTGAACCCAGGAGATATCGGCTAAAATTCGCCAAACTGGTTAAAAGCATAGATTTTCGATTATTTTGACCCCTGCGGAAGGCGCAGATAAGCGTATATACACAGATAACAGATAATTTTAATAGTATTGATAATTCAATCCACAACATTTGAGACTTAGGAAAACAAATTTGAAGGATCTCACATCCTTG